ACACACACACACACAGAGACACAGACACACACACAGAGACACACACACACACACAGCGATGGAAACTTCTGTGAAAGTAAATCTTCAGAGTTAAAAATACGGTGTATTAATGTGGACCACATGTGGGTCTTTGGCAGAGAGGAGGAGGAGGAGGAGGAGGAGGAGGAGGAGGAGGAGGAGGAGGAGGAGGAGCAGCCTTGGGGTTTCTGCAGCAACACACACACACACACACGTGCGTGGCTCCTTTACCTTGAGCCTTCTCCACGAACACCACCTTGGAGTCGTGCTGGAAGTTGAGGCCGTGCAGGAGCATCCTGTCCCCCCCGGAGGCCGGACCCGTCTCCAGGCTCTGCTTGTCCACCAGCGGCAGCTCCTGGGCCGATCTCTGGGCTGGGGGAGGGAAACCAGAACCTGGACTCAGACCTCGGATCACACACACCCACTCCCCATGCAGACCTGAGCATCCAGACGGAGCTGAGTCACCGAGGAGACGCATCGTTTCTGCAGCTCCTCAGAGCGGCTGCAGGGTGGTAGCTGAGAGTCGTGGTCAGAAACACATGAGGGCACGTGTTCTCTTCAAGGTGCAGGTCCACAACATGAGCCGAGCACAAACTCAGGCCGGCGACAGCTTTTATTGTGAAAAATTCATCAGCTCAACATTTTGATGTTTTTTTGTTTTCGGTGTAAATGTGTTATTTAATAATCTCCCGTGACGATGTGCACTCCAGCTGACCTCCCAGAGCTCCGTGCTGAACTCAGGCTCATGTGGTTCTGGTTCTGGCCCACAAATTAAGTCTTAAGAGGTAAATTAAAGACGGTCGTTAAACCCTGATCTCACCCTGAAATAAACTATTGTTAGTTTCTGAATGGCTGCCAGAGTGTGTGTGTGTGTGCGTGTGTACGCGTGTGTGTGCGTGTGCGTGTGTGTGCGCGTGTGTGTGCGTGCGTGCGTGCGTGCGTGCGTGCGTGTGTGCGTGCATGTGTGTGTGTGTGTGAGAAACCCAAAGAATCAGGGTTTAATAAAATCTATGGCAGCATTCAGAATGTAATTATTAGATGTTCGTCAACGACTGATTTCCTTG